TAACATTTATTATCCTAGATTTAGCATCTGTTTATAAAATTGCAAAATTTTTAACTTTAATACATAATTAAAAAATATTCGTTAAAACTTTGCAATATTATAAAAATTATTAAATGAAAAAAAAAACAAACAAACAAAACAATATCGAATAATAATAATAATAATAATAATAATAATAATAATAATAATAATAATAATTCATTTACTCCGTTAATACGTCATCAATTCTTGAATAAAATATAATAAATGCAGGAATGATGTGTTGCAATAAAAATGTTATCCAACTATTAAAATTTATCATTCTTGACAATTATATTTTAGAAAATGCAATTAAATGATTTATCATCACTGATTATAAGTATCAGTTGAAAAAAACAATACCCTCAATATATTAAATTGTTGCATATATAAAAAGAAGTCTTCGATTTAAAAAACTGAAAACAAATTCCTTAGTAGTAAGTAATACGAAAATTTTACTTAAATTTCAATTTTACATTGAAAGATACGATTTAAATAAAAAATATAATAATAATAATAATAATAATAATAATAATAAGAAGAAGAGGAAGAAGAATAATTTACATATTTATATTAAAAAATTTATAAGAAACTTATAATACTATTTTTAACTGTTTATAAACAATCTAAGTCCAGTTTTTATCACGTTGTATATTATATCTTTTCAAAATCTAAAAGATAAACTATGAAGGTAAACGCATTATAAAATACATTATAAAACCAATGATTTTTGTTAATGAAAATAATATTCATTTCAATATGTTTCTAAAAATATTATTACTAATTATAAATAATATGTTGGAAAAGAGAAATTAGCAAATGATCTTATTACGTATTCAGATACAAAAAGAAAAAATCAATTTTTCCTACAAGTACATTCCGGCAATTTTCCAAATAATTTTTCTATAATTTTAATATAAAAAGAAAATTGATATACAGTATAATAAAATGCAATCAAATTAATGAAATATTCATTACTACATTTGATAGTGCCTATTTAACAGTCTTATTTGTATATACGTAACTCTCAACATAATAAATGCTATTTACAGTTTAAAAATAAAATCCATTGTAAAGTTAAGGATCATCTCACTTACTCTGTAACAAATAGAGTAAGAATATTTTATCCGATAATTTTCCTTTTTGCACGAATGCGAACACGATGTTCTAATTAATATTTTCGAATTATAAGGAAGTAGGTTTTTCAAATCAGTGTTTACATATTCTCATTTTCATTTATTTGATATATGTAATAGATAGTTTGCAATGCATGAAATATATTACTGTAATAAGTAATTTTAAAAAATACGACAATGTCATTTAATATAAGCGTCAAAAATTTAAGTTCCTAAAGAAAAAAATTAACATTATTTTGTTCAAAGAATTTTTTTTTTTTTTTTTTTGGTCATTTTAAACGATCGTTTAATCAATTTTCGTTCTTAAATGAGATTGTAATGGGTCATTAGAGGCTTACAGTATCACATTTTAAATCCTATCTTCAGTCGCGCTCTAACTCATTTTTTGTATCTTTAATTTTCCAAGAGACCATTGCTGCGCAAAAAGTTGCAATTTATCAGATATTTCAATAGGAGTTTGAAAAACTAGTATATTATTATAAGTGAAATTATTAATGGTAATAGAATTTTTTATATAGCGTTTTGAAATTTTCTTTACAGTATTTCTCCATTATTATTTGGTATATTTCTATTTTTAAATGGAAATTATTTCGTAATGCTTTTAAAGCTTATATGTTTTTCTTCCTCGACCAAGAAAAGCCCAATGTTGCTAATATTTTGGGAGTGGTAATCAAAAAAAAAAAAAAATAACTACAACCGAACGTATAGATAATAATAATAATAATAATTTTAAAAATTAAATATCCAATTTCACGTTTTTGACGCTGTAATTATATAAGTTTCTAATACATATGATTTCATGCTGTGAAAAAATTGCTAATATCATAGTACGTGAATTTTGATCTACTTCTTGATAAAGTATAGTACGATTTTAATGAAATAGATGGAAATAGATGGATTTTTCACAGAGTTAAATACTTGTAAATGCCTCGAAGGAAGGTGGATTTTTTTTTCTTTTTTTTTCTTTTATATATATATATATATATATATATATATATATATTAAAAGGACTGATATTAAAGTAACGGATAATCCTTAACTGTAGTACTGCTGTTTACTAGTATAATATTGTAGTACATTCTTTACTCAGCCTAATCTAAAAGATAATGAATCAAAATAAAAGTATGTACATTTTAACGTACAAATATATATATTTAAAAAAAAAAAGATAGATATAGTACGATATTATACTATATTTATCTAGCTTTTCAAAAATATAAAATTGCTCTTATAAAATGAATGCCCTTCGAAACGAAACTTGAAATTAACTGTCTAATATATCCCACTTAATAAAATAATAATAAGTTTCATTATATTATGCTAATTCGAAATTCATCTAGCATTTATTAAATTATCATTAAAATAACTGGACTTGGATTTTTATATATGTTGTGTTGAAAAGTTTTGAATTTTCGTTCTTCCGTATTAATACGAAATTATCTTGTTATTTAATATATATATATATATATATATATATATTATCTGGTAACTGTGGTATTATCCATCATCACAACAGAAAAAGAAAACAATAGTATTTATTAATACCATTGCATTAGTTATCTATGCATGAGTATGAAAAATTATTTCATCCATTAAAAAGTTTCCATCCACGACCGCTTTACCAACGGTAAACTGTAAATGTTTTATTGCAGACTCATTCTACCTCAGATACAGACAGATTGGAGGATCGTTTTTTTTTTCTTTTCTTTTTTTATACTATGGCTGTCTCTTGGCGGAACACACCACACCAGACGGTAAGTTCCATATATAAATTATTAGAATTTTAAGGACAAATACTTTACGAAAAAATTAAAAGTCAATTTACTATATTACGTATTGAAATATGAAATGGAAAGAATATTTTTCATGTAAATAAATTACGATAATTTAATATATCGCTTCTTTATGACATTATTACTAAAAATATAAATGTCACGAAAAAAAAAAAATTAAACTTCATAAGTATGAATAAAATACAATTTTTTTTTTTTCATACGAGGATTTTATCAAAAAATCTATTTTTTCTAAAGAATTGCAAAACATTCTAAAGACTCCATATTGAATAAAATAACATTAAAACAAATTCAATTGTATGGACTATATCATATATATATATATATATATATGCATCATTGTTATAAATATACATGATATCACTATCTGCTACATAAAAGGTGCATTTATCACTTTTAGCTGAGAAAAAGATCAAAACTTAAGTCAAAACGATGAATCATCGAGAAAATTCGAATGCGATACATACATTGATTTCTATTTATATCAATAGAAAAATATAATATAAATTCCATAGGTATTTAATAAATGGAAGACATTTAAAATTCTGTTAATATTTTCCAGGTTAGATTGTAAGAAATTTTTTGTAAGAATAAATATTATTTTAATATATTGTAGTTTATTAGTAGTTACATAGTTAGTTAATTATTAGCATTTTTATTTAAAATGAATTTCTTTATTATTTATGAAGTAAATTTTTTTTTTTTGTTTATTAAATATAATTAAATACTTAATTATTTGGGATAGTTAAGCATATATTAATGTTCTTTGGATTTCAAATGTATGATAAAAATTTTGATATTTATATATCATATTTGACGTTTTTGTGAGATTAATTTATGCATAACATCATAGATTGTTTATATCTTTTCTTTCTCTATATAAACCTTTGTTTAATTAAATATCACTTCATTTTCTAGAAGAATCAACAAAGCTACTTGTAATCACAGAACTCATTAATACAAGCAGTATATTTATATTTACACCTTGAAGCAGAAGAGTTAATTAGTATGCGTAGTTGTATGTAAATCTGTTAGTTTCTTCTTTTTTCCTTTTTTTGTACAAAAATATAGTTGTCACAAATTCTTGATATTTATAACGAGATTATGTTTAATCTATGTATTTATTTATTTATTTTTTTTTATATCTGAATCTATTTATTACATGCTTTTCTTTAAAAATAGTATGATTCAAAATTTCATATAACTATAGGAGGCTTTACTATATAATACGAAAACAAAAATAATTATGAGTTTTAAGATTTCTAATTTTTTGTTGAAAATAGGAACTTATATCCTTGAAATTAATATTTCCATCGATACAAAAAGTTTTTTTGCTCAATATATTATCAATTATATTTAGTTATTTATTTTTTAAGAATATATGATTTCGTATATTTTCATCATAATTTTAGCAGTACCATTTTACTTATATTCTAAATTAAATTTTAATAATTTTCATGATATACCACCTTGTGAATAGCAGATGAATCTTTTATTATTGTATATTCTATCATAACGAAATTATTTTGCAATTCTTTATAATAAATGATAATGTTTTCTAATACTTATTATGACTTATCACCTTAAATGCTTTTATCTTTGTGAAAGCAAAACAATACTTGATAAATTACTATAGAGATTCACTAACCATCTTCTTTAGGACATATTGTTCTTGGCATGTTATTTTTAATTGAATGATGAAAAATGTATTTAAAAGAAAACCAATTTTTAATATCGAGTTGTAATACCTAAATCTTTTATAAAAATCCAATCTAAAATCTCACTTATATTTCATTCAATTTAAACGCATTGAATTTAATAATCATTACAAACGTACCTTGAGTTTTCATTTTCAATGAAATATAGAATTTATAGTTAACTTGGTTTTTTAACATTATTCATCACTCAGTTTATAACATAGTGCATCATAATCACAGAATTTTTGCATCTCTATGTTATGCTATGTTAATATAAATTAAAAAGAAAAAAAACGGAGAGAGAGAGAGAGAGAGAGAGAGAGAGAGAGAGAGAAAAGTTTATCGGTAAAGTTTGTTTCAAAATTAAATTGTAAATGAAAATGAATTCACTCCTCGTTTATAATATACACGATCATCTAATGACCTTGTAATGTATACCTTATATGTTATACGAATTTCGTATACAACCATAAATGAGTTTTAGTCTAACTATAAATACTAGACCTCGGCGCCAAGGTCTCGAATGCCCTGTTCGGCTATCGGCACATACTTATCATCGATCCTCACAAGTAATATAACCTTATCAACGTGAGACCGGCGATTTGGATCGCGATGATTCGGTGACCAACGATGTACTACGCAGCCCTCCATTCCGCGTTCTGGTACCCAGTGTTGCCAACCCGATCGACCGCCCATTTGACGCATTTTCTCGTCCGGCCAGATTACGTCTATTCGCCGACCAAGATTTATCGCATCGTATACCTGATTCGGATCCATTATCTAAAAAATGAAAAAATATTGACCATTTTACTAATATATTTTATTTCAAACGACTAGATTAAAAAAAGGCATACTTTTAGTATTCTCGCTACGAATTATCACACAATGGAAGAATAATTTTAGGTCGCATACCAAACAAGATTTCAAAAACGCTTAATTTTAGTCAATTTATCTATTATTAAGGTATTTAATAGAATAATTATTGTTATTTAATCGTTAGCATCTCGTTAATATGCTCCGCATAAATTTTTATTTCTATACTTACACGAACTCTTTGGAGTACTTCTTCTTTTTCGAGTTTGGCAGTAAAACTCGTCTCACTCTTGGATTCAGTCTTGATATCACTACTACTAAGCAGGCCAGCGAGACTAGCCAATGTTGAACTCGTAGGTTTTCCCATGGAAGCTAGCGAACCTCTGCAGTTACCGCCAACTGAGCTTGTGTTTGCACGTCCTAATGAGCCACGACCCGTTGAGCCACCTATTTGACAGCCCGATTCCATTGACTGGGAACCGGATGTATTGTGACCTGATTGATTGTATCCTATCCAAATAGATATAAAATTAAAGTTTAAATAAATGTCAATAATAGTTTTCTTCTTCTTCTTCTTCTTCTTCTTCTTCTTCTTCTTCTTCTTCTTTCTTCCTTTTTTATTTAAACATTCATATATTGTTCTTTATTTTAAATTATCTAAAATTGAGATATAGTATTTGTATTATTGGAAAATTTCCTATTACCAGAATGTATATTATACGTAGTCATTGCATAGACTCCATCATTGCCGAATCCACCATCATCGTGAGAGCCTGTACCTCCTGAAGAACATCCTTGTCCACAACGTCTTCGTATCCTGTTGAAATAATATATTTGATCGAATGACTATCTTTACACATTCCTAAGTGTCGAACCAATCTCTAAATCGTTTCCGTGCATAATTTTAATCATTATTGTAATACATTTTTTATTAATTCATATTTAACAAAGAGTAATATATTTAATGTAAAAATAATTACTCAACGACAATTAAATTAAAATTTTTTAATTTAGAAAGCGATTTTTTTTTCAAAATTTAAAAAATTGCCATAGCATGAATAAATTTTGATAACAATTAAATTAAAAGTGTAATGTTTAGGCGCATTTTAAATTATATATAAATTACTTATTTATATAATTGCAATTTTCGAATTGAATTAAATTAAGATTGAGCAATGTTTATACCTCCGCCAAAGCTTGAGTACATTATTCTTAATGGCAGTTAGGCTTAATGGGCCACCAATGACCGAACACAACTGTTCGTTCGTCTCGGCATAACTAGTCGTTAGAGGTGATACATAAATTGGATAGCCAATTGGTTGGTCACACGAGCTGTTAATAATATTTCGTAGCGCTTGTTTTGCGTTTTGTATAGAGCCACGCTCAGGATTACGATTTCGCAAGTAGACCTGAAGAATTCATTTTGAAAATGAACAAACTTAATTAGCATTTCGTTCTAATGCAAATCAATTTGTATCAAGAAATTAATATTTCATCAAAGTACAAAAAAAAAAAAAAAAAAAAAAAAAAATGCTTTGTATTTAAGCGAATTTTTTTTTTTTATTTTTTATTTTTTTTTTTTTATTATAAAAACTACAATCTATATTCCATTTCTATATTCCAATATGATGATGCCCAAGCAAACTTCAATCATCTAAATATAATTAATTCATCCATTATAATTGAATAGTAAATCTAATAATTTGTTACCAATTCTTGTTGTTGGCCAGCCCATAGTCCACGAACACATTCCCGATTCATCTTTATCACACGGAAACTTAGGAAGCGTTTATTGAGCATTATCACTTTATATTCATCGATGCCATCGTCTAAAACATGTCTGGAAGATGTTGAAAACAAAGTAAATACTAGTAGAGATGTGAATTTGTTATAAAGAAAAAAGAAAAATGAAAAAAGACAAAAAGAAGAAGAAAAGTTTAATATCATAAGGTAAAGAGATTGTTTACATTAAATGTGTCATCTCGCTCATTTTCATAAATTTATCAATTATTATTATTATTGTTATTATTCATGCATTGTAAGCTATTAAATTTCTATTTTGTACCTAAGGGCTAAAAGACTCGGAGCACCACTGAGAATAGCATTTCTCCAGAGTGGATCAGCTTCGTGGCTTATAACTAGATTACGGTCATGATTGTCAATGGCTTCGTAAAGGGCGACGGCTTCTTCGTACGTATCAGGACTCATAAAATGATCTTGATGAAGTTTCAGAGCCATTCGCACTCCTTTCGCTACGACACTACGTAGTAGATCAACGTCATGTAAAACCCACTCATCGCGAACCGATGTTATGCGAAAGTCACCTGTAATGTATTCGAAATTGTAATATATATATATATATATATATATATATATATATATATGTAAAGATGTAACATTTCACTATATAAATATACGATGCTATGCGATAAATTGGTCGCACACTTTTCCTTTAGTATGTCATTTTTATAATGCCAAGTAATATATAAAATAACAAAGGTTGAACAGTGAATAAAAAATTAATTTGTCTGAAGGAGCTGGAGCTGTTGAGTGGTTTGGCATGTAGTGAAAGAATTAGTTACAAATAATTGTTAATTTAAATACTAATGTGTAAGATGTCTAATGAAAAATTTTAATTAATTCATTTAAAAGTATTACCTTTGAAAAGAGCGTGTAAGCCGTAAAGAAAAAATTCAACGCTAGACAGCGTATTATGAGAAGCTGCCCCTAGTACACGTCTTCCTAATAAACTAAGAGCTAGACAGAGTGATACAAGGCACGAATCTCGAGATCTCTCCAACATCTATAATAAACCACCCAGATTAAATGTATTTTATGTTGATTTTCAAAATACATTAAAGTTATTTTTAAATAATCGCACTACTACAAGCGAAGACATAGTGTATAATTTGAATTTATATACATATATAATTCATTAAAATTATTTACTTTAAGAATTGTCAATTGATCTTTGGTTAATTTTATAAACATTTTTTACTTTTATAATTTATACAAAATAAAAATAAATATAATTTGATTATTACTTTATCTTGCTTAGTCGCACAAAACTGTATCCAATCCAAATAAACATTGCAAAAGCTACTTCTGGTGATTCCGCTGGCCCGAAAGTCAAAATCTTCATCGATATTCATATTGAAAACAGGGTCCAAATCTAAGAAATTCTTTTCCAATGTCTGCTTTAAAGCGTCAACGATTCCTTGATTTTCCAACCATTGCTTTAACTTGGCTGATTTTACCGCATAAAAAATTATGCTCTTCACGTAATAGGTAACCAGTACCTTTCTAAAGTCGAATACCTGAAGCATCGATCCCGCTGAATTATCCGATATCGAATAACCTTCCAATACGTACTTTGCACTTGCTACTTCCCAAGCTAGCCACCGTTGACTGAAGCACAAACGTTTGAACAATTACATTTCATTTAGTTGTCGAATTTAGTTGGCAATTCAATTGTCATTATTAACTGTAACTATAATCGCACCTGAATGCGGCATTGACACTCAATACATGAGAAAAGTGTCCCATTTCACAGCAACAGCAATTATCATTGTCCTCTATTCCTTCGGAAATGGCCTCCACCTCTCTCTGCTGGCAATAGGTGCCACGGAATTCCAGTCCTCTAAGCTGAAATGTGACGAGACCGTTGCCCAATTGAACGACGTGGACAAGGCAGTTCAGATAATCCGAAGCTAGGAGAAAGCAGTCGCCCTGCTCGACGGTTCCCCATCGACCCAGAGCCAAATCCCCATATAAGCTGTGCTGCAGCGAGCGCGTTAACTGCTCGTAAAATATGGAGTTCAAATTATTGTCGTCTGCACCCAGGTTGCGCTCTAGATGCAACGACATGCGCGTATTTGAGTGATCCACCCTGTCGACAATACAATTATTCTATAAATTAATTTCATTACTTTTTACTTTTTAAATAATTAATTATACACCGTACATCGTTCATTGTTTACAAATTAAAATTATAAGTCGCGCGCTAAATACATCATTAGTAGGCGAAACGTTGACAATTATTGAAACGCACATGAAGTAACATTAATGTAAATATAAAATTAGCGACATTTAGCAGAATTTATCTTACAATTAATTATTTGTATACACGGTAATGTTTTTATTTGTTAAAAGCCAGGCGACTCATTAACACATATTTCCGAATAATTTACATATGCAGGATTTAATTCATTATCGGTATTGTAGATTTCTTACCTTCTTGTCTTATAATCTCTCTCCCAGAATTTCACTGGCCTCACGTACGAGCTCATGAATATTGCGCTCCCAAGCAATGGATTGAGAGGTGTGCTCAGAATTGCAGATATAACAGCCTGCAAAAATAGCATTGCCGAATGAGGTACCGAAAAGGGCTGGGCGAACGCGTGGAAGGCACTTCCCCACGTGATTTGCCAGGGTGCGATGTAGGTGACGATGAAGCGTATCTTGAGCAATAGTTCGTGAACCTTGGCGAATACGACAGCGGTGACGAAATAGTCGAGTAGGAAAGTCTCGCTATGCTCGCGAAAATCCATACGGAAGAGTAGCACCGCAAAAACAAGAACGAGATAGCGCGTCGACGAATCTGCGTAGGCAGATCGCAAAGATTTCAGACCGCATACGACGATTATTAGGGCACCCATACTAGGCCCAAATTTCGCAGATATCTTGGCTGAAGATTCGGTGAGACCACCCAGGAAGACCACAGGGTAAAGAATATTGCGCTCGAAGAAGCAAAGATACACGTAAATCTTCTCGAACCACATTATCTTCACTGGATTCCTTACTGTTTTTCGTATTAAAAAAAAAAAAAAAAAAAAAAAAAAAGAGAGAGAGAGAAGAAAATTTTTATGTTAATGATTTCAAATTGTCAACAAAAAAAAAATATATATATATATATATATATATATATTTTTTTTTTAACAACAAAGAAATCACAATTATTAATTATAATATATATAAAATAAGAATTCACAATTATAATAACCCGTAATAGAAACGTAATTTTATACGCGATTATAAATAATAAAAACACAATTAATTGGGATAAAGGAATGTAAGAATGAAAAAGTCATATTACCCTCGAATTGTAAGTGCTCGAAACTTCGTAAAACGGGTCTTGCAAGACAAAGCCAAGGCAGTTGTTTCCGCAGCTGGGGCATAATATAATGCAAAAGTAATCCAAGTAATCCAGTGAATGCCCATAGTACTGGATTAATCTCAGGCTGTAAGGCTGTAAAAACTGTCGAAGAATGTATTGCAAAGGACAGAATCCCTATCACCGAGCACGCAATAATGTCGTTCTTCAATCTTGCCTTAACGGTGGATCTTAACTTTTGCGGCAATGGATCAAATAGCTCAGAATCAGATATCTGTTCGCCCACGACAATTTTCATATCCTTCTTCTTAGAGGAGGATTTGTTCTTTGGAGTTTTGACGGTTCGCGCTGGGTTTGGTGTAGTTGCCGAGGAATTCGATACCTCGTGTCTGGAAGTATTCTCAATGATCTGTATCTGTTTCTCTTCGAGATAAACCACAGGCGGCCATAAATTTGTCTTCACTATATCCCAAATAACGCTTGGATCGGATGATGATCTGATGATAAACAATGATTTTTCACATACGATAGTTGTAATATTTCAATGTATTTTTGTAAATTTTTAAATCATTATTTTCATTCATGTACGTGGATATGAATGAAACTTGTAATTGTTAAATTTAGTCTCACAAAGCTCTATAAAATTATTGAGAAATATCAGCAAGAAGTAAGGGTTAAATTAATTAATATTTAATTAATAACGTAGTACATACGGTATTACATACCTGCTAAGATGATAAGAAACGGCAACGAGAAGTCCTGCAAAAATAGAGAAAAGAATATGCTGCGATGACTTTGGCTCCATTAATGCTCCATAGGCAAATCCATAAAGCGTCAGCACCGTCATTACACTTCTGCAGAGGCAATAAATAGACGAGACTAGACTAGTAGTGGCAGTGCCGCCAAAAAGATGTATGTCAACGTGTTCGCATAGGTACATGATGAAGGTGTTGATTTGGGGGAAAAGCCCCAGCGAAAAGACGATTGGAAAGCAGAGCAGAAAAATCAGGAGGACATTGCGCGTCTGAAGGATAATATCGTAGTCGAGTATCTGCATGCCATAGACACGAAATTCTGAGCCCTTGAAGTTTTTCAGCGACGACTCGAGAATTAATATTATACTTGTGCAAAGAATAAAATATATTGGTCTGAAATAACGAACAATTTTCACTATGATATTCAGCAATAATTAAGCATGATCGAATTTTTAAATTTGACTTTAAAATTTACCTAGAGAAAACGACAATACGATTAAAACCATGGGTTGGTGAGGCGGCATCAGGCTGTACAGATTTTAATAGCGAGTACTGGCATCCGGCAGTCACAAAGCAGAATAGAAATGCAAAGATGTCTCGATAAAATCCTTGTTGCAATATTAGTAAGCCCAAACCTGCTACAGCGACAGCGAGAATCGTAGATACTATTGTTTCCAACACTGTTAGATTCCTATCGAGAAGTGCCAAAAGTGACAGCCGATCGAATCGCACTTTAACGTGCGGTAACTTTCCAATTTTCCATTTATAATAATGACGGGTTGGCTTGGCTTTGAGGTGACTTGGCTCATCGAATCCAATAAATTCATTGATGAAACGATTCCACGAAAGATTCTCTTGATGCATCGGCAAAGTTATCACGGACATCTACAAGCATTTAATATAAAACGTGGTACATATATTATAAAACAATATGAAAATTATGTGTCAATCGATTAAATCTTTAACGCGAGGCGTATGAATGAATGTATGTATCTTCAAGTTCATCATAGATCGCACACTTGACGAAATAGCAAAATTATTGTAAATGAAAGACCAAGGCCCAATATTCGGTCATTTCTCTCACCTGATTGCCAGCGGCATCGACCGCCGATCCACCGTTTGTCTGATTATTAGAGTCGAGATTCCCTAATAGACTTTGCAATCGTCTGTTCCTGTCGGCCAATGAGTCCGGCAGCAACTGTCGATAAGGCAGTCTTTGTGTGTTGTCAGTGGAGCCGCTAGTCGACGGGACGACCGCTTGACTCGAGCTGCTCGTATTCAGCGAGGTCATCGTAGCTGGTATCGGGCCATGCATTTTCGATTGGCTGCCGTTGACACCTCCATTGCAGTTATTGTTAACGGGCGACGAGAGGACCGGGGGCGTAAAAACCGGTGGCGTATCTATGATCACTGTTAATCCTGTGGGTGTCACAGGCACTTTGCATCTTAATATTACTAATACTAGGTGTTTATTTGACACACAATGAAGGAAGGACAAGCGAGATACGCTTAAATATTTACTATACTTGAATTACGAAAGCAATTTAAATATTCATTAAAATACAAAACAAACAAAATAAAAGCTTAAAATTTATTTTAAAATAATGGGTAAAAGCTTTTCTATTTTGTCTTGTCGTCCTTCAATGAAATGCCTAAAAATTTCTAACCATGTTATTTATACGTACGAATATACACATTAATGAAATTGGCATCGACAAATATTTTCTAAAAATTAAAATTTACCTTGTAGGTAAAATCTTCAAACTTTAACTTTCGACAAATATGCAAATAGTAAATAAAAAGCTAACTCTTTTAAACGAGGATATTATTTTCCCAAAATATTAATTTACATATAGGGAGAGGTAGGTATAGAGAGAGAGAGAGAGAGAGAGAGAGAGAGAGAGAGAAAGAGAGAGAGAGAGAGACTTAATTTGTTAAATAACGATTTAAAGTTTCACGAGAATCATTACAATTCACATTGACATACCTGCAGAATTAAGCGATAAACTGCTGTAACTATTGTTAGACAAGTTCGATAGATCGTAATTCTCGTCGTAGTATATATTTTGATTAAGATGTTGCCGTAGTAGTCTATTCAACAGTTTCTTATTCTCTTCGGATGGCAAGAGTCGTGCAGCTGTTGCTGCTCTATGTTTCTTGGAACGAGCCGAGACTGTCGCGGGCTTTTCATCAAACGTCTGGGCCATTGAACTATCATTGATGTCACATACATTGTGTACTGTATTCTCAGAGTTATCCGATTTCGTTATACGATAAAGAAAATGTGTCAGCGCTATCAAATCCTGATCCTACGACATAATGTCACAAATGCTCATAAGCATAATGCTATAATAGATTTTATGGTTTTAAATTAACGACATTCGTTAAAGTGCTTTTAATGTTATCAAATAAACAAATTATGTTCATTTCGACATTTAGATAAATCTACCTTTGATCAGCAATTTTCCGTTGAAATCGGAATAAAGTAACGATTATTAAGAACTTAAAAAATCTAAAGAATAACTTGTTCAGAAAATCTCAAAAAGTACAAATACCTCGCATCCTACCGTAATATGTGTCGAATGATTAACGCGATGTTTGCGTCTTGTTCTGTTGGACCTATGCAACCTGTTGTATCTCGACCTCGAGCTGCGTATATCATACGGCGCGCACGTCAATCTTAAATCCGCCATTGTGGTGGATTGGCATGGGAGATCAGCAACCCTCGTATTCGATGGATTCAGAAATGCTGCTAACAATGGGGGAGCTGGTAATCGGCGAATTGGACACAATGTGCTGAGCTCGTTGTTGGAGCCGCCGCCAATGTGGGCTCCAGGTTGGATGAATCGTCCACTACAGTCACTATTTTGTCCACTGATTTCGGTAAAATAATATTTAAAAATAGAACGCTTAATCAATGGACGGTAAATACTAAATTCTAATCTCGATATCTTTCATCGCTTTTCTAATGCACCTTTTAATTTATATTTAATACACGTGTTAATGTACTACTAAGATTTTTTTAACATCATCAGCGTTATATTAGCATATTAAGGCAATATATATATATATATATATATTTATAGCTATTTTTACGCATCGCACGTATAAATAACCTTTGAATGCGAATGGATTGTTAAGATTTTCCTATATCATCAATAATAAATGAGTAACAAGGATATTATATATATATATATATATATATTTAAAAGGTCTACAGATACAACATAAATGAGAATGATAATAAATAATTACTGGCTGCCACTAGTACTAGGTCTGATGCCATTTATCACACGTTCGCGTCTTTCTCTAATAGCGGCCGTGGATCGCTTATGCTTAGGTCTCTTCGGCAATGCTTCAGTCACGTTGACCCCTTGATCATTCATCGTTACTACACCTTCGACACTGTTACAGTTACCGGTGTTATTGCTGTTGAGACGAGCACGGTTTTGCTTTGGTATAGCACCTTGCTGACGCTTGCTGTCGACCTCCGCTTGCGTTGGTAGGAGCTTTCGCTTCACCTCGTTTTCAAGACTGAGGGTCGTGGTGCTGGACGAGCCGGAGTCCGGCTCCTTGCTCGGTAAATCTATCAATACCATTGCAAAATGAAATACTTAATCATCCGTATATCACTGCACAATAAGCTGTCCTTTGAGTACCAATACACTAATAATACTCGGATTACACTAAATTAAATAAAAATTGATTTTTACGCGTTCTTAACAATTTGCATTAGCATCATTTCTATATTAATTGTAATTGTTTGTTTTATTTGTTAAAAGAACAATGGAGTCGTTAATTGTGAATAGTAAATGTCAACTTTGCAATGAAATTCTTATTTAAATATTTAAAATATAAAGTTGATAATGTTTTTGGTATATCTGCGGTCGTTACATTTTCTATAATTAATAATCATTTACATATATATATATATATATATATATATATATATATATATATATATATATTTTTTTTTTTACTTAATTACTTAATTACGATTTTATAAATACTTGCGCGCGCACTCGCTCGTTTACACTTTCGTGTACATGCATGTGAATAATAATTTTTAGGACAGCATTGAACAATGATTGGTAATTAAAATTATGTATCATATTTATATACATTATTTGTTGCTAACTACAGTATACTAAACAAAAACTACGAACTTACAATCTGTACTAGCTGTTTGTATACTATCAGATGCATCTGTATCGTCAGATTTCTGTGAAGTCCATAATACTAGCAGCATTAAATATAAAATGTTTACAAATATCTTCATATTTGATACATTTCTTAAATATTTATCTTTACCTTATATATAGATTATACAATAAATATATAAGATTTTTTATTAATCGTGTAATAATTAAAAGTCCTCTTCTACTTAACCCTTCAATTTTTCAATATAGATAATCAATTGGATTGAAAAGTAGAAATAAAATATCGTTTAAAAATATTTACGATTTCCAATAGCCAATAGTTTGATAAAGTATTTAATAAATAACATGTGAAAAATTACATATTTTTAAATATTAATTATAAATGATTGTTTATATTAAATTAATTTTTTCAAATTCCAATATTATTCAATACTAAATGACATTAAGATTAATGTAGCAAATTTTGGCATTTACTTGTGAATTTATAATAAAATTATTTACTTTTATTTGTCCACGGTTCGCCTTCGCCATTTTCAAACAGCCAGTCAATGCCAACGATACTACCCGAATTAATAGGATCTTCAGCCTGTTTTAACCTCTCTTTTCTTTTCTCTTTACGCCTTTCGCCATCTGACAAATCCCAACTGCTCTGACTAGTATTACTAAATCTACGTTTCGTCATGGGCTTCGGTTCTTCCAGCAAAGCATCGCGCGAATTTGCTGAGTCATTATCAACTGTTGTATCTACAATGTACCTGTCAAGTAGTTTAATTTATTACATATTTTCATATTATTTGACCGCTATTGTAATAAAATGTGTGCAATAATTATTAATTATAATAAATACATAATGTGCATCAATTTTTTATATATGTAAATAAATTTTGCATAATTTTATTCAATCTAAAAGAAAGATGGAAGGCATTTTTAAATTTCTTAATCCTTTTAATCTTTAAAAAAAAGTATATACTTATTATTTTTAATTTATAGAAGAAATTGGATTAGTTCAATAGTATGTAACGATACTAAAGTTAAACCTTTTCCAAGATTAATTTCATTTATAATAATGCTATATATATATATATATATATATATATATATATATATATATATATATATATATTTTTTTTTGTTTTGTTTTGTTTTTTGTTTAACTAATTTGATTGATGGATATTCGCAGTACCTTAAAAATCTATCATCATTTTCTTTACGTGTAAGTAAAGGACTATATGAATCCTGTAAATTGAATCGTGCAGAATTTTCAGCAGGCATTTGCTCATCGCTTTGTTCAGCTATCGGGTGCACAATTTCAGATCCACAACTGAGATATGGCAGTAGCTGTAGCTGATTGCGTTTTAATGTATTTTGCGGTAAAATCTGTAATAATCATAATCATAATCACATCATAATCATAATTGAATAAAAATATGAATAATAGACTTTGCAAAATGCTTATTTCAGATTTGTATTTAAATAGTATAGGAAATATCAAATAATACATATATATATATTATTTATAAAATAAATGTATGTTAGCAATAATTTATTAATTTGCGTATATTTGTATGCTTAAAATATCTGTATTATTTTATTATAATAACTATCTAACAATCATTATATTTCATTTTTATATGAATTCATATTTATTTATATAAAATGCACCACATACATAGATAAATTTGTTACTATTTTAGTGTGAATCTTAAGAGAAGGAAATAAATTGCAGTATAATATTAATATTAAATTTGAAATAATGAAATAATTTATAAAATGAAGATTACTGTTATAATTAATATTCGAAGGATATATTTGTATAAATTGTTGATAGCGAACCTTTTTGGAATTTATTGTTTCTAAACTTTGTGGATGTAGAGGTAAATTATTGTCATCCGTTGGACTCGAAATTTTGGTAGATGCTCTAATCGTTTCCAGACTTTGCGGGTGAACGAGTTGCTGATGTGGCATTTTAGATATAACCTAGTGAAAACAATAATGTTAATATTTAAAATTTTTGCCAAAGACACAGACATACTCATTAAATAAAATATTGAAGTTTAGGTTTTAAACATAAACTACAACTTTTAATATTTTTATGAAAATAAATTATTTCTAAATTGTTAGTGCCATTAAAATTAAATAAATATTAAATGTTGTTTATTCTTTTGGAACGAATTTGACGAAATCATTTTAATGAAAAGAATTCTATAGTATTTTTAATACATATTTTAAGTTGTAACATTTTTCTACAATCTTTTGACTTTATTTAATTTTTAAACTTACTTCAAGTGATTGAGGGTGAGACGGAATTTTATTCTTTTCAGAATCTTCTTTCTTTGATATAACAGATATAACTTCAAGACTTTGTGGATGATCGTTCAATAGTTGAGCTTCCATAGGAATAGAATTTGAATTCAATCTTCTCACACTTTGATTGTATTTCCAGTATTGATAATCATCTGGCTGTTCTAATTCTAAAGAACTAGTTTGCTTTATTTGACTCTCGGATCCCGTTTTTCCAAGATTGTTTGATTTTGAATATCGTGGCCGTGAATCTTCCGATGCGTGTCTGCAGAATTTTTTACTCGATGAATGATTCTTTGCCGATGCTGCCAAGTGTTTTCCAATATTTGGTGAAACAGGCCTTCGTTCTGATTTTCAAATAATATTTATTATACATATTAAAGAAAGTGTTAGATTTAAACATAATCGGCTTATTATAATTCCATCCAATTATAATAATAATTTATGTAAAATCTACACGTGCAACAATTAGTTTATAATTTTAAATATTAAAATTCAAATATTAGAAATAAATCAGTATAAACAAAATGAAATGACATAAATAAACTATTATAATTTCATATATATCTAAAATTTGTAATATTACCATAAATTCTATTTCTATAAAGTTGTTCATGGTCTTGCTCTGACATCAATTCGGCTTCATGAACATTGATGCTAGTAACGATTGGTTTATTTAATTGCGCAGCTTCTTCAGAACTCTCAGAACTATTTTTTCGATGTATTTCAACTTTTAAATCTATCGTTGAATTAGGCTTATCTCTTGTATAATCAGACGTTATACTATCAGCGTCACCATTTTGTGTATTTGGCTCAATATATGAATTACGAGATGAGCATTCCACAGGTGGAGTGTCCGTTTTTCCTATAATACATATAATAATGAACAATAATGTAAATAAAATTTTGAGAAACTTCACCCAATACAAACCATTCAAAACTTGAAGCTCAATACCAACAAAGTCCTGATCTTGCGGCTGCTCTCTCCGCTTCGTACGAGTGTCTCTCTTTTTCTCACTTTCCAACTTTTGCTGACTGATGTTCTGATTTGGCTCTTCCAAGCACTCGGTTGTATCATAGACACAATGAAGTGCATGGTTAATGCATTTGATTGTTCCAAACAGAACAATAATTGTAGAACAGTAAGCACACCACACGTACAATGTCGGTGGAAAATACTGAAATAAAGTAAAATTTAGAAATTAACGTAATATACATTAATTATTACAATAGTTACTGCTATTATTTAAACGGATACTTATTTAAAATACAAAAGCCACGTCCAAAGTAATTCGATAAACAATTATATGAATCAATATTCTATCGCGCAATATATGTGTGTAGAAGTTATCGTATGCTTAATCTATTTAGTTTCATTTTATTTAATGACAATAAACGTCAATTAAGATCAAATATATCATTAAAAAGTAATATATCGATTTAAGATTACAATTTAACGAAATATATTGCGTATTAGGCGTAGTAGTTACGATATGCACATTAACATTGCAACAAAATTATAGTCAAACTGAAAGATTATAAGACTGTTTAGTGCAAGGCAAACGATTTTGCATATTAAGAATTGTGAATAAAGATAATGAAGCTCCATTTCATAAATGCTGATCGAAGAAAAAAAAGTAATTGAAGAGGGAAGGGAGTAAGATGAAAATAGACAATTACTAACGATGCAATTGCAATACAAATGTAATTTCATTAATAAGTTTAATATGGAAAATTCAAAGATTGCAAGGAAATACAGGTGCAGAGCATCATAAACAAATATGGATACATTATTGTTTAAGTCTCTAAAATATTTCTATTTGAAATTTGAATAAAATTATATGCTTTAGTAATGTGATAAAAATGTGAAAAAAAAAAGTATAAATAATTGGTTACTTTACTAAGATTTTGTTAAATTATAAGCTTTCGTTAATATAAATAAGATTGAATATTAAAAAATTTAATTTTATTATTAGTTGTTTCATTCGTATATTTTTTTTTTTTTTTTTTTTTTTTTTTTTTATAAATTAGACTACGAGTTATTGATTCCTAATTCAATAACAATTAAATCGTTTAAATATATATAGAATATACATTTTATTACTCATAAGTAATGCACATACGACACATAATAAAGCAATACACGTGTCGTTAAAAAAAGAAAACAAAAAAATATATATATATATACATTTCTTATTTAATATATATATATATATATATATATATATATGACAAATAAAATAATTTGCAAAATAATCAAGAATCGTAAAATTCACAAATGTTTGAGTATAAATATCAACATAAATTAAAATAATCATTGTAATTTGAAAATAAATTATAATGCGGATTCAATTGAATTTATAATATAATAAAGTCATAAATCTAAATTGAATAATATCCATATTCAAGATAACGATCAGGATTCTATGAATAAAATTATGCTTTACTTTTCTACTTTTACTTTAAATTTCTTGTGCTATATAATAGTACTTTAAATGAAAATATTCATTTAAATTTTTCATATACAGATTTAGAATAAAAATGATTGTGAATATTTAAAAATACAATGTAAATGATTAAACTAAGCATAAATTGATACGAATTGATGGAGAATGAAGTTTAAATACTGTAAAATCAGATTGAATGTTAAAATTATAAATACATTAAAATATTTTAAAAACTTACTAAGTAGATTGTAAATGGTAAACACAATAGAAAGAGCCATACATAGAGGTGAAAGGTATTGGAAAATACATCTAAGTGAGGATCGTAAAACCATCCTCCTGTGAGACTTGCCCATACGCCTTGGCGTAGAATCTCCAGCGTTTGTGAACCCATGCCAGCCTCTATATTCCCTTTTCATCATATTTCCATAGTGTTTTGCTTGTACATCTACGCGTCTTCTTAGTCTCTATATGTATAATAAATACTATATGGTTCCTTTTGGAAATCTCTATAAATTAAAAAAAAATATTGTATTATATTAACTAACCTAGTACATTATGTGAATTAAGAAAAAGTCTGCGATATTTCAATCATAATTCTTTTGGTATATTTACAAATAAAGAATTATTTACAATTGAATGTCATATATTTAGTTTTACAAAATTAGTCTGTTTTTATATTGGCTTGTAATGCTAGACGACAATAATATACGACTAATATACTTGCTATGTTTTGATAAACTTAGAACTTTTATGCGCGTGGAAATATATTTTTTATCAAATTTTTCCAATAAATATTTGACTTTTGAGAGGAACGTTACAACACGAGTAATGCAAATTGTATACTCTTGGTAAAGTTGATATTAATGCAGAAATTAATCATCTAAATAGTTTAAAATCAAACTACGCACAGCGCTACTTCATTATTTATAAGCTTAATTAGACTTGACCCACAAATACAGTAACCTGATTTAACTAGTCCTAATTTAACTAGACGAGTTTTCTAATTTAATGGCAATTTATGTTCAAGTAAATTAAATATAATGCTGTTATACGTGTAAAATTTCACTTCCAGATTTACATTTTAAATGCCAAATTCAACTGTGTTGACTGAATTTCTCTCGTGTTTTTAATAAGATGAAACAAACAGAGACAAAAATAATAAAGACCCTACACAACAATGTATACATCGTGTATTTATTTCCTCGTAAAGTAGTAAAACAAGCAAGTCGATCATTATCATTCGAACATTGCAAGAAAGAGAAAAATGAAAAAGAAGAAGAGAAAGATGGAAGAGGGAGCGCGAGCTCGCTTATATATGCGTAAGAGGGAGAGGAAGAGCGAGAGAGCGATGGAGTGTATCAGGAAGAGATTTAAAAATTAAATTAATTAAAAAAAAAACAACAAAAACAAAAACCAAAAAAAAAAAAAAAACAATCGTACAGAGCATTCGCCTCGCGCTATACATTGAATAAATATACTAGAACTATTGTAAATATAAGTATAAACACATACATGTACACATAAGTTCTATGGTTTTGAAGTTCGCGTGGACGTGCGTACTTTATCCCTCTCGAAGACGACGTTAACATTCATAGCGAAACACAAGCACATAACAATAAGTAACCAAAATCATGTCCCTTCTCTGTTTGCTGCTTTTTATCCAACTATATCAACGAATATCTCTCTCACTACTCTTTTGCGCGCGCTGGAGCATCAAATCAATGGTCTCTGGATTATGTCGCAGCCATAGTCCGTTCTCCTCCACCTGTACAACTTCAATTGTATTGTGCGTACGATGCTTGCTGCAATAACAGTTAGCTCTTCGTCTCAGTCAGTGGAGCAGTTCTTATTTCATGTCTGGTCCTGCTGACGTCCTGTCCTCGTTATATTTTGTACACACTAGTGCATAGCTACACTGTCCGCTAGCGCCTAAAAGTCCTGAAACTCTTAAGAAATTTACACGGATGATGATAGAAATGTGCCAGTATTCGCCTCCAGATGGAGGATTTATACAATTTCGTGATCCATACTCCTTCACCGCTTCGTATTTAAAAATGCTTTGAAAGATTCGTCGAGTGTCGTTGGGATATTTTAAACGACATTTAATAGATATTTTATCGCTTAATTATTAATGCTAGTAAATTTGACATTTTTAGCAAATGGATTGCTTATTGAATTGAGTAAAATGGAAAAGTTGTAGGTGATAAGGCAAAAATGATGAATTGGTGCACAGGAATTGAAATCATTTATAAACTTATTGAGTTGATTTTAATCTGTTTTTTTTTATTTTTATTATTTTTATTATTATTATTATTATTGTTATTATTATTATTTATGATAATAATTAATCATTCACATTAATTTCAGAAATAGTCTTACTATATTTTTATCCATCTCTATTTTTACAAATTATTGAAAAGTTTGAAATCGACACATCCAATTTATCTATAAATCGACACCTTCTTATAATAAATAATACTGATATTATTAAAATTGCTCTTCCCCTTTCAATGTATTCGGAGTAAATTATTAATTTTTATCGAAAGCGTTTGACGCGTTGAAAAATAAAAATTCAATGATAAATCATATATCGATTATATTTATATTTTAAAACAACTACTAATATAATCTACATTTTGTTTGTATTCGTATAATAAAACAATATCAATAATTATTTAAAACAATAATGTTATTTTATATTTTGGTAATAGCATCTATTGTTAAGAAATTTGTGAGAAATTTTATAATGTTTAAATGCAAATTACTATTAAATTAATATTGTTGTTGGAAAAAGCCATAAGACTATGTTAAGCGTGCAGTTATTGTTTCTCTTTTTGACAAATGTCAAGAAATATTAAGAAAGAAATATCAAAAATATTGCGAGCGAATATTGCGAGCGAATATGGAAATATTGATAATTATGTTCATTTAAAGCATACAGCTTAAGGCATCGAAAAATATAAAGTTCACTATTCCCTATTAATATTGAGAAAAATGTAATAATTATCGTTTAAATTTAATGTTCCCAATGTCTTTTCTCTCTCTCTCTCTCTCTCTCTCTCTCTCTCTCTCTCTCTCTCTTTAAAACGAGTTTAAAATAATTTTACGTAAAAATTTACAAAAAAAGAAAAATCGAGAAAATAAAAATCCAAGAAACATGTAACTGGGCCATAATGTTATAAATTATCCGCTGCTTTCTTTCTCAACTTTCTCTATTTTTTCCCGATTCTCTTGATCTCGCGCGCCCGCACGCACCCAGCCATTCCATCTCTCTCATGCGAATGAGCAAGACCGTAACTCCACGGGAATGTCCTTTACTCCACATTTCTGAATCGGGCTTTAACGTTTTCGACAAAACGCACAGTCCATTGGCAGTTGCTACACAAGTATATGAATCGTCACAATTCTCTTGTCGCCATAACCTCCGCGTGTCGGCGCGTCGGTCGTTTTTCTCTCTTCGTGTGTATTGATGTGTGCAGGACCGTATGTATTCTCGCCTGTTGTCTGTGAATTATCGCATATTCCAGGAGTTCGCGAGTGAGCGACCTCCGTCGTCGTTCCCGTCACTGTCTCTCGCCGTTATCCGTCAAAATCAAACATGGCGTGCACGAGGTTATTATCGCCGCATTAAAGTGAAAACAATACGGTTTATCGTGCACAGCGCGCGCAAGCTTCTAAAACAAATTATTCGACTATTATTATTGCATGCACAATTGCGCGCGCGTGCGTGTGCGTGTGCGTGCGTGCGTGCGTGTGTGCATTGGTAAGCGATCGCGCGCGGATCTAATAGACTTGGCATAATCGCCAGTGTGTGCCAGTAAATAAATAAAGGATTAAACAATTAAATGCATTTATTATTGGATCGACGGTGAATGCGCGAAAGCATGTACGTGCGCGTTTACGTGCACATGTGCATACGTCGCTAATAAAGAGGGGCATGATGAGCGAGAGCGACGCGAAATCGAAAATCTTCTAGGGGAGGTGCGGCTGCGAGGAAGAAAAACCTCTCTTTTTCCCATTTATATACGCATGTGTACATACGCGCGTGGTGGCTACAGCAGTAGTACACAACAGGCGAAGTGAGAAGAGGTGGTGGCGGCCAAGGAGGAGGAGAAAGTGTAGTGTTGCATACATTAGAGCCAGTGATTAGAGCTTTGCGAAGCCCTGGGCGATTCGCGGAGTTTTGACAGCCAATGTATTATCGTCGTTCCCCGGAGGATTTATGAGAGTATATAGGTGCCGCGTATGTACCTGGGAGAAAATGAAGCTGCCGGTTCACCTTACCTGGGGACTCTTTTTATCACCTGGGTGAGTTTGGGAATTGCTTGGGTACTTTTTCATTTTAAAGGATTGCGAAACGGATCTAATTATGGGTAGTCATCGTGGATTTTTGGCCGAGGAAGTTAGTCGAGAATATTTTTTATCGTGTGTTACGTTTGCGCTTAAATTATTCAACTTATTTGGATTAAAAAAGAAATTAAATCAGCCCAACCAAGCGCTTCAATTATCGCCTTTCATTCGACAGTAATGTTTCTTATAACCTAACAATGAAAGATTAATGAATCATTTTATTTAGTTCTAAAAAGAATTGTTTATTATAATTCAAAAGTATTTGATGGGATTTCTTTGAAATTCGCATGTATCCTATATTTATATACAAATAATTCATAATCCTTGCAAATTACTCTTAAAATATATTTATAACTAGAAAGGTAATTTTAAATCAATGATTATAGTAGGTATTGTAGAAATTAATATTCATTTAGTATTAATTTTTTTGAATGGCATAAGTCTTTATTAATTTAGTAATTCATTTGTTGGAATGTAAAAATTTACTGAAAATATAGATTTTTTTTTTTTTTTTTTTTTTTTTAAATTAAAAATAATTTATGTTATTTTCTATTAAACAATAAGGCTTGGATCATTATTAAACAGAATGAGGACATTTTTATATATTACATTTTTTTTTTGTAAAAATTGGCAATATTTATTTAAAGATTTGAAACATATTTATTAGCTCTTATATGAAAAATATTACCTCGTATATTTTTCTATGATTTTCATTAACATCTGATCTACTTCGATGCTTAATATCGATACTGTAATCAATTAAATTAAATATTATTAATTATATTGATTGTAATTTTTTTACCTACTAAGCTAAATGAAATTTTTTTTTTAATTATCTAGTATACAATACAATATGTAAAAGATTTTTTATAATACCTTTGCCTTATCAAATTATTTATAAGATTTTAATATAAGATATTTGAAGCTATATATTTTTATTTATTGCATAATATTTACTTTTATTATGTATTTTGCATAATATATTTTACATAATTTTGCATAATATATTTTAGGTGGATGTTGAATACGACAGTACCAAAAAGCATCATTATGTGTTGAAAGTAATAGCAGGATTTATCAAAAAATTTTCAGCAAACGTTAAAGGGATTGGAAAAAGAATGAATCCACCCTTGACTCATATTTTAATTGTAACCAAAAGTTGATCTCTTTTGTAGTTTTAAACAAATGTTATTTTAGGTGAGTCCATTAAAATCATTAATTTTGATGTTCTAATGATCAAATTAATTTTTATTAATAACCTAATGTACTAATTGAAAGTATTAACATAAATGTATTGCCTCTATTTAGATTTAATAAGTTTATTTGGCCATATGCCTCCAGCTGGGTTGTCAGCAAGAGGCTCATCCACCTTGATGGACCCTGGACAACCAGATACTCGTCTTCGCAACGAGCGCTTTTTACTTTATTCAGAGAATGGCTCATCACAGTCAAACTCTTCCAATGCAAGCAACTTCTCACCAAGGTATCACCATACAAGCAGAGCAAACAATCAGTCAATTGGGTGAATAGAATAGATTTCTTTAAAAATCCATACGTCGCATTCTTACATGATTGTAGGATTTTTTCATTTCAAAGCATAAAATTTAATAATGCCTCAACGCATTTAAAATTATTTATTCATTCTTAGTATTATTAAATTGCTTGTCATATTTCAATAATGACTTTGTGCATTACATATTGCCAATATTCTAATATATTCCTATCACTTTTGAAATATTGTGAATTTAATTAATTTTTAATTTTCATTTATATTTTACTTGTAATTAAGACGTTATTTTATTATTTTTTATAAGCGATCTTTGTTTTAATGCATTTATCTTTGTAAATTGTAACATATAGGTTAAATTAGTTATTTTTAAAAGTATGTCAAGAAAGAGCGTTTTTTATTGAAATTACATTGATATGAAAAGTATATTTATATGCTGATATGTAATTGTATATCTTTTTGCTTAAATACAAAATCTTTCTATAAATATTTTGAAGTAATGTTATAAGAATTAAGCAAATTTTTAAGAAAATATTGAAATTAACGATACACAGTGCTATTTAAAAATATTTTGAAATAAAAACATTTAATCTTTTATTTTAAATCCAGCCAAACTTATTCTTATACAAGAACATCAAGCAATATGTCAGATAGTAGTATATCAGATACACATAGCGGTGGAACTGCTCGGACACTATCACAACAGACGAGTCCGTCGCATGGTACACTCTCATCCCAGTCGAGGCACGATAGCTCTATTCTTTTTACCGCGCTATATGACTATATTGCCCAGGGTGAAGACGAGCTGTCACTGCAACGTGGAGAATCTGTGGAGGTATGTAAAGGGTTTTTCACAGTATGTATTCGGTTAAAAATTAAAATGTTTCTATTTTAAAGTTAATACATTTTCTTTTTTTTAATTGGCAATTATTTATGATGGATTATTAATTCATAATTGTGAATGTCACTCACCTTGTTTAAGTGTTTTTTATAAAAATGCAATATTTTATGATTAAAATTTATCTACAGATGAAAATCTCAAATGATTTGGCTTAAAATACTCGTTTTTCCTTAATAGGTTTTGTCAAAAGATTCAAAAATTTCAGGGGATGAAGGTTGGTGGACGGGTAAAATTAGGGGTAAAGTAGGTATTTTTCCAGCTAATTTTGTTGCCGAAGCAGAAACAATTGATAGGGTATCATCGGTAATTGAACAAGTACAGCCAGTTGAAATCGATTTTGAAGAATTGAAATTAGAAGAAGTTATTGGCGTTGGTGGATTTGGTAAAGTTTATCGGTAAGTATAAAAATTAGTTGTGCCGAAAATTTTTACTGTTATCGATTGAAATCAACGTATAAACATCAATTTGCTTCATTATTAACCGATTATTTTGCTAATTATTATTTGTTTGGCAAATATAAAATATGTCTATTCAATAAAAATTATTATTTAAAATATGAAACGTAAGGCTTTTATGGTTATAAATTGTAATTTTATGATTAACATATGTTTATTATTACTTATTTTTAGGGGCTTTTGGAATAAAAAGGAAGTAGCAGTGAAGGCGGCTCGTCAAGATCCTGATGAGGAACCAAGTGTGACATTGCAGAATGTCCGCCAGGAAGCAAAACTTTTCTGGCTCTTAAAACATGAGAACATTGTGCAGTTGGAGGGTGTTTGTTTGAAAATGCCGAACATGTGCCTGGTAATGGAATACGCTCGGGGTGGAAGTTTGAATAGGATATTAAGTGGTCGCAAAATAAGGCCTGATGTATTGGTCGATTGGGCTATACAAATTGCACGCGGTATGGATTACCTACACAATAAAGCACCCATCAGCCTTATTCATAGGGATCTTAAGAGTTCCAATGGTAAGAAATTATTGGAAATAGGAATGCCAGGATTAATGCAAATTTAGATGAAACGTTAAATTTATTTATTGTTAAAAAGAATACTTTTTAAACATTTTTAAATGTAATATAGTAAGAAAGAATTAATTATATTTAATGAGTTTTAATATTTAAAAATGTATAATGTTTGAAAATTATTGATAATTAATAAATTTGTCTGAAATATGTTAAATAAACTTATATCATTTAAAAATAAACTAAATTTATGTATAATATTATAATAAATGTTCAATGCATAGTGTAAAAAATATATTTTTTATAAAATAAATATATAACTATTGATGTTAAAAAGAGTAAGAATATTTAAATTTTCAATTAATTTATTAATTTAAAGCTTTATTATAAAAATATTATATACGACATATTTTACTTCGGTTTCACTTATTTTTGTTTTTATCTTGTGAAATTATTTTACGTATTTACTTATTTATTGTTTGTTTTGTTTAGTGTTATTAAGTGAACCAATCGAAAACGATGATTTCCAATACAAAACGTTAAAAATTACGGATTTTGGTTTGGCAAGAGAAGTGTACAAAACAACTCGTATGTCAGCAGCTGGGACTTATGCTTGGATGGCACCGGAAGTCATTAAAAAAAGCACATTTAGTAAAGCCAGTGACGTTTGGAGGTAAAGTTGAATATATAAAATATTGGAAAAATTGTATGTATAAAACGTTATTCTTAACTGTTATATACAATTATTATGCACACGAACGTTTATAACAGTATCAAAATAATGTATAATACAATTTTGCTTCATATACTCTATTCCATTAAATTCCATTAAAAAATTATACATATCAAAAACCTATAATTTTTAAATGCTTAATAATAGAATAGAATCTAATAAATATAAAGTAATACTGTATTTTACAATATTTTCATAATTAATTTTTCAATTTTTTTCCTGCTTGCATAATATGAATATATATATATATATATATATTTTTTTTTTATGGGTACATACATATATCGATCGAACATGGATCATAATAATTCTATAATACATTTACAGTTATGGAGTACTTTTATGGGAACTGTTAACTGGTGAAACACCATATAAAGGAATTGATGCACTTGCTGTAGCATATGGAGTAGCTGTAAATAAATTAACATTACCAATTCCATCTACTTGCCCTCAACCATGGAGATGTCTTATGGAAGGTTAATATGTTACTATTTAAAATATTAAATTGTTAATAAAAGTTCATTCACAATTCTAATGCACTTACGAAAAAGTAAACATGAATATTAAATTTATAATTCTATAAACTGTAGCATGTTGGGCTTCTGACAGTCATGGAAGGCCAGGCTTCGTAGAAATTCTTATTGCCTTAGATGAAGTGAGGAGTGCATTTGCGGCAACTCCTCATGAGTCCTTTCATACGATGCAGGAGGACTGGAGACTTGAGATTGAGCAAGTTCTCCATGGATTACGCATGAAAGAAAAGGTATTAAGTTAGAGAAAATCTAAGCATTCGATATTTATTAAGATAATGCTGTATTTAGTATTTGAATTTAATGAAGTGTCCGGCACTTAATAGACAATAAAATATTAATCTGTACTAATTATAAAAATTAGTATTTTCAATTGTCTTACATTTAAAGTAATAGCTATTTTTTTTACATAATTAGGAATGTTTACAATTAAGAAACAAATCATAACTAAAGTATTGTCTTAAATAAAAAATTAATTTTAATATATAATCTTTGAAATGTAAAACAAATTATAATTGTTATCATTTTTCCTAATTCAAATATAAAGGCATGCCGATCGCTAGAGGAGGTAAGAAACGAGCATATATTCTGATGTTAAATGGCAAAATATGTGGCTTTGAGTTTTTCCTTAACCTTTCTTATACATACGATTGCTCATTTTTACTAAAATTTTTAAGTTTTACTTTTTATTAATGTCTTATTTGCACGTGAAATTATTTTGCAAATAGATTGCTTATCAATTATTCAAAAATAATGTTGAATAGAACTAATTTGAAAAAACTTTAGATTTTTTAGAATTTAGTGCTTATGATTGTTTTAATGTTACAGATTTTATTTTTCAATTATCACATTTTTAGAATATTTTCAAAGCAAATTTTAGCAAGTGTTTCAGTAACAATGAAAATGTATATATTTAGTTGTTATTTTTAAGTAATTATTCAATGTAAATCTAGTTTTATTATTTAAAATGATAAATCAATTTATATTTCTACATTTTTTTTATGTTCTTATAGGAATTGCGTTGTAGAGAAGAAGAACTAACGAAGGCTCAAGTACAGCAGAGACAACACGAAGAAAATCTAAGACAACGCGAACAGGAACTCGCAGCTCGAGAAATTGATCTCCTAGAACGAGAATTAACTGTTATGATTATTCAACAGCAAAACACACCTACACCTAATAAAAGACGTGGGAAATTCAAAAAATCAAGGTTAAAATTAAATAAAAAAGAGCCCGGAAGTAAAATTAGTGCACCTTCAGGTAATCCTATGTATTTAAAATATTACAAATTACAATTAGTTTTAAAAAAACATTCGTAAACTTTAATATACAATATCAAAATTACAACTACTGCAGTGATGATTTATTTTTAAATAATTTATAATATAGTATATATTAAATTATACAATTACTGTAAAACATAATATATGATTTCTGAAATATTACAAGTATAAATTTAAATTTCTCAAAAATCTTCTTTTAATTTAGTTAAATATTCATATTTAATTATTCTAAGATGTTTGAAACATATTTTATAAAAAGTATTATTGTAAAGTTTTTTTTTTTTCATGATACATGAAGTAATGTAATTTTATAGAAATCTTATCAACTAATTATTTAAGAGACAATAATATGTGTGTGTGTGTGTGTGTGTGTGTGTGTGTGTGTGTGTGTGTGCGGTTAAATCTTTATAAAATGATATTCTAAGTAAAATTTAAATAAAAGAAGTATATTACTAGTATATTATTTATATAAATCTTATAAACAATTATAGTTTAATTTTAAAAATTAATATAGAAATATATTAATAGTATTCCAATTCTTAAATTTGTTATTTAAGTAAATGTGACATTATAAATTTCATTAAATATAAAAAATAAGATAAAAGATTTTCGTACCTGAATATTGTTCTTCATTTATATCGGTATTATCATTAAATTTATTATAAATTAACCGCTTATGACCAATTACTTCTTAGAATAAAGATGTGCAAATATTAGCTAACATTGACATTTAATAAAAAAAATAATAGAACTGTTTAACAAATTAATATAACAAATGCCCTATCTTTGTCTTACACAAAATATAAGCAATTCACAAACCAAAAGCAATAATACACTATTTGATAGATAAGCTACGATAAAAATACTCAAATTATTACAATTGTACATATGATTATTATGTTGTAAAATGTTATTTTACAGATTTTAGGCATACAATAACAGTACAGCACACGGCTCCCGATCGAGTAAAGAGTCGGAATCCCTCACGGTCAAACAGCCCTCCTGGTTCGCCAAGCATTCCACGCCTGCGAGCAATTGCCTGTAAGCACAATAACAACAATCTAACATTTAATTTAAGGAACTTTAATACATAATAATATTCTAAAATTAATCGTTCAATGATGTGAAAATTGGTGGTTACGATTTGTCAAATTAAAAAATGATTATATTAATAAATATGTATTATCACTATTGATCATAACATAAAAAAGGCATAAAATATTTTTTCTTTTTTAAATTATATGGTAAAGTTTAGTGAATTGTTATTCATTAAACTATTTAACATTGATTCAAGGCAGTATATTCATGCTTAGTAGATGTGATTAAATTGAATTTTATAATAACAAGTATCAGTCATAGATATTTATTAGTTATTATTTAAGTCGCATGGTGTGAATAATTTAATATTTGTAATTGTCTTTTTTTATATGTTCATATATTTTTAAATAATGTACTATTATATATTTAGTTTTTGTATTTTTCATTTTTATTCACATTTGGAATTTTTTGCAAGCAGTCTTTGATAGTAATTATGTAGTTTGTAATACCATGCATGATTTATTTAATAAAGATGATACTATATTAATTTTTATGTAAAATTAATATCAATGAGTGAAGAATTTTTTTTAATATGGCAATAATGGAATATAATTTATAAATTATTGAGACTATAAATTGCATAATTTTTTCCAGCATTCTTATCTATTGTTTATTTAAAATTTAGATGATTTTTATGGATAAAAATTTATCTTCAAGCATAAAATTCAATATTTTATATTATAATTTTTCAATTAAATTGCATAAAAGTATATTACTCTTTTTCAAAAATATTATATATAATTTTTGCCTTTATTATTGATACATTTTAGAAGATAACATTTATTATAAATTTTCCTTTCTTCGATAAAAAGACAACAACTTATCCGCATCTACCTACTTAAAAATTTATTATTATTTTTTTTTTTTTTTTTTTTTTTTTTTTTTTATTTATTATTATTTATTATTTACGTTAAATTTTTTTTAGGTTAAATATTTGTGATAAAAAAAGCAGTGACTTATTGTAACTTATTATAATTGATTTTGCATCTGCAAATATTTTTCGGTAATTTTTATAAAATTTAAAACATTAAAAATTTTATACGATATAGGATCGAATAATATCTTAACATGACTCTTAGTATATAAATCTAAAATTACTTTACACTTTAAGAGCTTCTATTTTGATACTTTGATTTTGATACCGTAAATTATAAAGATTTTTTCCAATTTTCTTATTCAAAATAATGAGCGTTAAAATTACAAATATTCCATTGAATTTACGCAATCAAAAGTATAATTAATTATAAATCAAATATATAATACATAAGCTTTTAAGAAATTAATGTCTGCATATGATTGCTAATCTATAAAATGCAATAGAATTAAGCAGGAAAGAGAAAAATCAGAGAAACCAAAGACTACTTGCAGAATTATTTTCTTTTCGTAAAAAGAGCCACCAAGGCGATCGCATCACTAAGCAAATTCTTTACAAGTATCGTTATTTCTAGTATCTTATTTCTTAATTATTACTTTACATATTATTATTACATCAGCACCAGTCAAAAAGTAGCCTTTAGTAGTCCAGTCTTTTTGTTTTGTTTTCTGTTCTCTTTTGTTCCGGTTGCCACACACACGCACACGCACACACACACACACACATACACGTACACACATACACGTACACACACACATATATATATATATATACACGCACGCGCGCGCGCACACACGCACACACACGCACACACATTGTCTATCCTCGCTCTTCTATTATCACCAACCTAAACTCCAAAATAAAAACAAAAAAAAAAAATCAATACTCAAACAACCACGGGGATCAACAATAGTACCAGCCGATGGCGTTAAGGGTAAGACCTGGGGCCCCTCGACTCTCCATCAACGCGAGCGCGGTGCCATTATCTCCTCAGCCTGCTCACCCAGCTCATCCACGGGTTGCCCTGGAATCGGCATCGGTGGCGTAGATAGCACCACAGCCACAGTTGTTGGCGGCAAGCGATGGTCGCGCTCTGCACCAGATCTTGAAAAAACGCCGCTGCGAACGGCACTTCTAGTGGCGGCGGCGGCTAACACGGCGGCTGGACATCATCATCCACATCATCATCGCACGCCACTTCTACAAGAAATAGGTAACGTCCGCAAGAGCGACGCGAAAAAGCTCTACTCCTCGGCGAACGATCTCGTTGACTCGCCTACGCACACATGCGGTGATGTTTCCACTCCTACCGATGGTGTTAGCGTAGGTAACGATTCGGTCGATAATATAGATGACTATAACGACGAGGAGGACGATTCGTCCTCATCCAGTTTCGTTGTCGGCTGTGTCCGAAAGACTAAGAGACGCGAGCGCAGTAAATCTAAGGACTCGGCATCCTATGTAGTTAGCAACAATAACAATAATCACAGTAATAACAATAACAATAATAATAGTGGAAGTAATAAAAGAAGAGATAGTTCGGAGTCGAGATTAACTTCGTTGGCGGACTTTTTTCGCTCCCCGTCGGGTTCACGTAAGAGCTCATTGAACAATGAGCGTAAGAACTCGAATAATGTTACGATAAAGATTAACGATTCCGATGGGCTAGAGTCAAGTCCCGAGAACTCTATTGCGCATAAATCCCGAGTATCTAAGAGTCCATTGAGAGTGTTTAGTAAAGTCAAGGCCTGGGGTAGCAGAGATGCTTTAGATGACAAAATAACTAATGTTAAGGTTGAGTATACTATGCTTCAGGATAGTGTAACCCTGCCGAGATTTGAAAGACAGCAACTGACGACTCCAAGTTTTTTAACAGCGAATTCGCGCGAAGGTATAGATTTCGAAAATCTTGAGTCCGAGCTTTGTAATCTCGAATCCGAGCAAGCTAACGACGATAGTAATTTGACAATGAGATCGCGTATTAATGATCTCAAGCTTTTACAAGAGCTCGACTTTACAAAAGGCAGTGAGAGGTGTAATAACTTTAGCGATAACGAAGTTGGTTACGGGAGCGACGACGATACCGAGGATCTAATAGAAGATGATGATCGTATTAGAAACGATGACGATACCGTACAAACCTCACGAACTAATGAGAATACGAGAATTATTGAAACTATGAGAGGTTCTGAAAGCGCAAAAAACCATCAAATGATGATGAGTTCGTTTGCCAAGCCTAAAATTCACGTGACTAAAAAGTTCTTTCGGAAAAATTGTAGCGGCACAATAAAAAAAAATTGAGTCTTTATATATTGCTCTGTTTTACTAATTCTTAATCACATGTGTGTGTGTGCGTGCGTGTGTGCGTGTATATATATTATTCAATATAATAAATAATCTTGCAATCGTGTAAAGTGCTGATATTATAAAATTTATAATAAATTTTCATTACAAGCTTTGCATCGTTGATTATTCATTTATCTTAATAATATATATTCGAACGTGTATTTCCTCTGTTTAATATTTCTAATCGGTAATTTTGTTATTTCAAAACTTTTATAAAATAAAAAACAAAAGACAAAAATTCAATATAAACTTGTGAAAGATCCTTTTTAATTATAGTTAAACAGAGCAATATTAAAATTCTTTGATTGATTAGACTGTTCATTTACATTTCGTTGAACTTTTGTTTAACCATTCCAAATTATAATATTAAATAATAATGTTTGTTTATCAAATGATATGTTTCAAACACGAATGCCTTTATAATTATATATTAACATATAAAACTTCAAATTCCTCCAGTAAATACAACGAAATATTGCAATAATTTAAAATACAACTCATACTGTTACATATAAATTCTAGTCTACTAAACAAAATATTTAAAAAAATATTGATTTTAATATTATAGAAAACTATTTTTAATTTTTTTTTTAATTTTTTTTTTTTTTTTTTTTTTTTTTTATACTGTGCCTATTAAGATTACGTAACATTTTGTTGGTCATGAATGAAAATATCAATGTAAGTTTCTTTGTTAAATAGCAATTTACTCGTCACTCAATTTTTATTAATCATATTATTATTATTTTTACAAGTATTGCTACATTATTTCTTAACTCTTAATAACAAAAAATACATTGATACTGTTATGATTTTTTATTGCATAAGAAGTATATTATATTAATGTTAAATAGTAATAAATGTTAGTGTCCATAGAAAATATTAATAAATACACGTAATATTATTTAATAATATCTTCAATATACGTGCTTGAATTTTAATGTTTTAATAAAATTGAACACAAATCAAGCCAATAACTAATCATTCAATGTTTTTGTTAGAATTCGATGATTTGTTATCAAATCATGAGTAGTTTAACCGAAAGTATAATTAAATGAAATTGAAGTTTATTTAATATATATAAAATGATAACTTCAAAATTTATTCAATATACATGGAAGAAGAAGAAAAAACAAATGATATCGTAAACATAATTTATAATGACTACATCATAAAAGATCTCATAGAAATTACGTTAAAATATAGAAGAATATTGGGTATTAAATTAATTGGTTTTAGAACAATTTAATTATATTTATTTAACCAGTATATGATATACACTGTATAGTTTTGCTGTTTATAGAATTTTGCGTAACAACGTATGTATTATCAATTTAAAGATTATTTTTCATTGACAATACTTTAAAATCATCAGAATTATAAATATTTTATTATTTAATTAAAAAATTATGAATGCATGTATAAATAAATAATATAAACTAGAATATTGAGTCTGCTTTACAGTGTTTTTATAATTGATTACAATTAATGAATGTACGTTTCTTAGAGGATGATAGTTCATTTGACTTGTAAGTTTTATATTAATATTGAACGAGTTTATAATGTTTCGATACTAAATGTGTACAGTGTTTTATGTATAATGCTGAAATTTAATAAAATTGTATTTTTTATTATTAAGGATTTAGTAATTTTTTAGCAATATTTAATTTGATACTAATAAGAACAGCAGTTAATAATAATTTTAAGATTTATTCATTATTAAGTTTATCATTAAAATTTAAATGAACAGTCTGCAGCATTTTTATATTATTTAGTAATTGCGAGAGAAAATGTTTATACTCGAAGGTGTGCATTTTTATTATTTAGTTTTATATTGTATATTCATTAAGTGATATCGTAATTTTGATTATCTTTATAAAACTTTTGTATTTTATACGCAAACTAGATGTTTATTAAATCTTTACCAATAGCATTCGAACTTTTGCGACTTTCAAATTCTGTTGTATAAGCACAAGATCTTTCAAAGATAACAATTTAAAATAATTAAAACGAATTTCTCTCTCTCTCTCTCTCTTTTTTTTTTTTTTTTTTTTTTTTTTTAATAAAACATTTCTTTAATTACATATTTCAATATCGAAAAAAGATATCATGAAAACTTTATTATACATGTCTAATTTCTATTTAGTATATATTATTGTAAATTATTTAAAAACACGTTATATTTTGCCATAAAAGTGTGATCGATTGATATACCAATCCCATTGAAATACAATACTTTCATAAAGGTTGTCAAAAAAAAAAAAAAAAAAAAAAAAAAAAAAAAAAAAGACTATTGAAATTTGAGTATATGGGCTTATTAGGATTTTTTGTGAGGCTATAAGGATCATAAGGATCAAGGATGCTGGACTAATTTATTCTACAAGATTCTCATTTTATCCGATATAAAAATTTGTATAAAATCAATATTTGTAAGATAATAAATTAACATTATAAAAAAAAAAATTCATTATTATGAACGTTTAATAATAGTAAATTATACTTATTTACAATTTAATTTACAATATATCGTCTAATTAAAATGATATGTTATGAATTACAAAATTTTATTCTTGATCAGAATATGTGATAGACGAAAAATGAAAAAAAAAAAATTTTATTTATTAGACTAATTTTACCAATTAAGCATCTTCATGTGAATTCCAGTAAATTGTATACGCGTATCTTTTAGAATTATTATAATACACAATAAAGCATCTCGTGATTTTACTATTCAAGAATGTTTTTGTAATGAATTACTCCAGACTCCTGTATAGTAAAAAAAAAAAAAAAAAAATAAATAAATAATAAAAAAAAAGTCTGCAGCGTGCCGATAAGTTACTTTGTATAGTGAGAAAACGCTTTTTTATTCATAGCAGGTCTTTCCGAGGAGAACATCCATATTCCCCGTAAGTTGCAATTAAGTTTTAGAAGCACATTTTTCTCATTAATTTTTTAAGTTATTATAGAATTTTATTTTTTCTCTTTGATGTTAGTTCTTTATTAGAATCGCTCAAATGTTAATTATTATCTTCACAAGCAATAACTGCATTTATGATTATTTTTTTTATTTTTTTAATGAGTAGAGGGCTTCGACTTTTCTCCGAAGCACGTTGAAATTAATGTTGACGATATTTTCGTATATTAAAACATACTTTCGTTTTAGTTGAATTTTTAATAATCAAAATAATCATATAAAAATCACCAAACATAATATAAATAATAATCAATGAATAGAATGTCGAGATAAATTAAATTTTTTAATTTGCATTAAATAATATATATTATCCATAATTTTCAAAAATAATCATCAATTATGAAAATCTATTGCTTATATTTTTCATTTAATATTTCTATTTTTTATTTATTCTATTAGATTTGAAATACCATTTGATTCCCAATCATTTTAGCTCACATAACACACGTAAATTATATTCATTCATGTATTGTTAATTTGTCAATCAAAAAGCTACATAATTTATCTAGGACTTAGTCATTTTATAAATCAATAGCTTGACTGGTAGTTAATAGTATGGAAGATAAAAAGTATCTTTGCTGTTGAAATGATTAATATATAAGCGCATGTCTAATATAAGAATTTATTATCAGCCATTTTTTTCTTTGACTTTCCTTAAAGAATCGCCAAAATATTATAGGAATATTATTTATTTTTTTTTTTTTTTCAAATAATTTCTTAATTAATATTATAAATGTGGAAAATATTACAATATCGTACATTGATATATCATTTTTCGTTTAGCTATTAATTTATTAAATTTACATTGAAATAAGAAGTATAAGAAATATAAAATTTATGTTATAAAAGATGAATAAGTTAATATTTGTTAACAAAAAAAAGGGGCGGCGGGGGGG